GGTGTGCCTGTCACCGATAAGGACGTCGCTAGAGATCTACTAATCAAAGCGCTGCAGGTGTGTGAGGCTCTTCAGCTCGTTATCTAGAGAACCTCAAAGTAGATATTCAGGAGAAGAAAGAGGTGACAGCTGTAGTGGAGCGACCCGAGTCGATGGAAGCGAAGCACTGGACACAACAAGCTCTTGTCACTCAGGTAATCCTCTAGATAGGAATTGTAGGAGAGTTTGACCTCATACGACTTCTTCTAAGATTTGCCAACCGCCGTCTGTTCAAATGAACTCGGATGTGCGTGCCATAGCAGCTCGTGAACGTGCCAAGGTCAAACAACCAAAACCGGTATGGTACTTGTTTTACTGAAAGAAATAAAGCTCAAATCCCTACGAATAGTTAGAAATTAAAGCCATACAACTCCGTTCTGCGGTAAAACGGCGAACGCTATGTCGCGCGCGGCATTCGCGGCGGGAGACACCATTTCCAATCAATTTGCATCCGTCCACATTTGAGAACTGGATGATGTGTATATTGGGTTCCAAATATTCTTCGCTCATTTCCTATTATCCCTTGTATTCCTATTAATCGAAGTAAGTCCTGTGGAATATAGGTTTTGTGGTAGGGTCCATCGCCGCGTTCGACCGGCTCAAAAAAATTTAACGCCCCCTCCCACTTCAGGGCATATACCAGCTTTCTTCCACAGGTTATCACCTCAAATTAGAAAGTCACTGTTTTGCTCTTATCAAATCTGAGCCTAATCTAAGCCTAACTTCAGAACCATAGCCAGTTGTGAGCATAAGTCTAAGCCTAAACCTAAACTTGTGACCTGAACTTGGAAACAAACTGGAAATGCTTCCAGCTCCTTGGAAGGTCTTATTACGACCCTCTCACCACCATTTTGCAACTTTCAATTCCAAACCACTCGACGCACTCCAACTTCGGCCCCCCTGTTTCCAACGGCTATCGAGCGTTAGGGGGAGGGGGTGAGAATTACACTGACTGAAATTCAGAACTGAAAGTCATAATAAATACTACTTCACTATGTTAGTTGCTTACAACAATCAGGAATGAAAACTTCTTTCTGCCAGGCTCCGAAATCCATTCTGCGACAATCGTCGAACACCAGGAACATCACGATCAGCGACGAAGTCTTCTCGCATATCATCGCCTCCGACAACGAAGGGCGGCAGCTCAGACCTGTCCGTAAATAAATAGATTGCATAACAATTGTTCGCTTTCGATTACTTCTACAACAAAACATCCTACTATATATAATTCCCTAAGTATGTCTGTGTATGTGTGTGTGTGTTGTCACGAAATTCATAGCGCCTTCGCTGCAACAGTGGAGCGCTGTATTTTGAGTATGTTGTAGGGGGTGGGACGGGAACATCGGTGGGGGACTGATAACGACTGATAAGATCCGATAAGAGGCGCCAAACGCCAATTCCATGATATCCATAGCGCGCGTCCCAGCCAGGGTCGCATGGGGGGTCGTACTCGTTAAGGTCAGTAACGTCAGCTAGGAGAGAGAGGGTGTAGTGCATAAAATATTCTTTGCAGGTCCAGTCGCTCCGTTCCTTTACCTTTATGAGAAGGACGTATTTGAAAGCAGTACAAGGAATGAAAGTGCATCTCCGCAATGTGTACACGTGCTGTAGAGGCACCTCCTTTATCTAGGCCCGCTCTCTCGCCCTTAATACCTCGTTGAAATGAGGCAGTTGTTAGGGAGCTGTCGCAAACCGGCAAGAGTTCTGGAAAGACCATGGGCAAATGAAGCTGTTCCTTAGGTTATAGGAGTTACGAAATGTGTTTACTACAATACAGTTTCTGTCAACAGGTCATCATCATATGTATAACACCTTTCAATAGATTCTACAACTTGAGTGGAGGTCGGATGCATGGCCTATACTGAGACGAGATCGGACGATGACGATTGCCCCTTTTCTTGTCGCTTACGTTGGGAGAATTTATTCTAGACACATTTCGAGCGTTGCCAACAAATTACTTGCAATGGTGAAGAAGGGAGCGGCTTTTTGAGCGGCCGAGAATCATCCTCGATAGATCCTCGACGCAAATATCTCCTCAACTAGAGAATGTAGAAGGAAGCTAAACATACTGTTAGAAAGCGCAAACCTTCCGCTTTCCAAAACTGTCTTTTTTTCCAAATCTTGCAAAATTAGAGAGATATTGCCTTTTAAGTGGCAAAAACTCGCATGAAAAATTCCGCATCCTCGACGCTCCCTCGACAAAATTTGAGAGGACCTATACCTATAGTGCTCCAAAACTCATGAAAAATGGAACCTTTTCATCGAGAGTGTAGATTTCGACGGTTTCGAGCGGGGTTTCGGCAAATCTGACCCACGGATAAACCGCGCTGCAACTGAATGCTTTGCTGTGCATTGATGGAACTCGCTTATTCACATCAAGGCAAAGTTAGAGGGGTCGTATCAAGACCCGACCTGGGGGGTAGTACTGATCTGACCACGTCCTCGACACGATTTTCACCCTGGTCCCAGCATCAGTGAGGCGTTGGTTCCAAGAAGTGATGTAGAGGTAGGACGGGAACATTTTTGGTGGGGACAAAAGTGATAACGACTGATAAGATCCGATAAGAGGCGCCAAACGCCAATTCCACGATATCCATAGCGCGCGTCCCAGCATCAGTGAGGCGTTGGTTCCAAGAAGTGATGTGGAGGGTAGGACGGGAACATTTTTAGTTGGGTGTCACATCCTTGCCTTGGATGGGAAAGGTGCCACCCACGGCGCCCGGATTACGGTGCCGAAGACAGCAGCTGGCACCCGTTGGTCGCGAGCAAGAGGCTCGCCAGTCGTCAGCAGGCCGCCGTCACTCACTCCCCTTATTCCCCTCTCTCCCTTATCTTATATTCTTCTATTAAGTAATAAATATGTATAGTCTAAACTTGTTCTGTATCTCCTAAAATACCGCTACACACTTCAGGTAAGGGTCTGATCAACCACTAACTTGATTAGGTCTCGAAGATAATTTTTCAGTTTTTTTTCAGTAGTTTCCAAATAAATCATACCAAAATTACAAGG